TATAGGCTATATATATGTTTTTGTTTTCATGAACACACTGTCCTTACACAGGGACCCATTGTTAACCAGCTATTTACACATTTGAGGTCACAAATAGGCATAAAATTGGTGTGAAATTGTTTAGGTACAGTACCGGTACTGAGGGATTAGGTATTTTGGACCTGTACCTAATCAATTTTACCGGTACAGTATCGGTACTGCGTACCGGTACACAGCTCTAGTTTGTAGTATTAATCCTTTCCAAGCACAAATAAACATTTTCTATTGTTGAACACCTTGCAATTGCATGACGTAGTCAGTAGTATTAGATGCTAACATCAATGTCTTCCCTGCCTTCCTGGATCTTTGGTTGTAGCAGCTTTCTCCTCTGAAAGGCCCTCTCCTGGCCTGGACTGGGCCACCTCTGGTCAGGCCCCTGGTGGTGGTATGTCATGGTACACTCAACTGCTAGAATTCACTGCAAGTTAGTTCTACTTGTGTGATAAATTCTTTGCTATGCCGAGAGATATCTCCATTATTTACATGAAAACCATGGATCTCACCAATTAACAATTGCCTGATGCTGCAGTTACCACAGTTACTCTTATTGATCTGAAAGGAGAAGTTGCAATTGTTTAAATAAGTACATGTAAGCCATACTGGAAAGATTATGAACCCAACAAATAGACTTAAAACATTTATTTCATTTCATTTAAAGACAAATCAAGCATTGTCACCTGCTGAAATGTCATATCAACAATTTTTTTTCTTTTTTAACTACTAGTATGCAGCCAAGATTTGTATGCAACATGATTTTGATATCCACAATCCCTGTTAATTGCAACTTGCAAACAATAAATAATATTAAACTGAACTGACAACATACAATTTCATTATATGAAGATGTCTTTGTGAAATTGATGATGATGTCTTTTTAGAATTAAAACAGATTCCTATGCTTTGGGATATACAAATCACTAGATATATTTGTCTGCAGTAACGCAATGATTTTCTTTGTCTTTAGATCTCAATGACTACCTTGAGAGCCTGTACAAAGACATGGGAGAGGAAAAAAAGGAAAGCCAAGAACAGGAAAGTAAGGATATAGAAGATGGGGAAGATGCCAAGACAGAAGATGAGCAAGGGGAAGATGGAGAGGGGGTGCAGCAGAAAGATGAAGAAGAGATGCAACATGAGGGAAAAGAAGAAGTGCAAGAGGAGGGAGAAGAGATTGACCAGGAAGATGAAGAAACAGTGCAGCAGGAAGAGGAGGAAGAAGAGTTGCAACAGAAGGATGTAGAAGATACAGAAGAGGAGGATGGGGAAGATCAACAACAGGATGAGGAAAATGTAAAACAAGAGGATGAGGAAGACACAGAACAGGAAGATGGGGAAGATGTACAACAAGAGGATGGGGAAAAGGTACAACAGGAGGATGGGGAAGACGCACCACATGTGGATGGGGAAGATAGAGAACAGGGGGATGAAAAAGAACTGGAGGGTGCAGATGGGGGGCAGCAGGATGATGATGACGCAAACAAAGAGGAACTAGATAGGACGGATGATGGAAAACAGGAAGGTGATATGGAGGAGGAAGAAGAAATGGGTGATGATGAAGAAGATGAGGAGGGTGATGATGATGAAGAGGAGGGGGAGGAAGAGGAGGGTGATGATGATGAGGATGATCAGGAGGAGGAAGAGGAGGATCTAGATGAAACATTTTTTGAGGTAGAAGATGCTGTAGAAGAGGGTGAGGAAAAGGCTGAACAAGATGAGCCTGACAAAGAAAAAACAGGAGAAGAAGAAGACATGGAAGTGGCTGCTGATGATAGTAAGGATAAGGATACTGAAGACACTGAAGAAACAACAGAGGAAGATGGTAAGCCTGATGGAAAGGGTCTTGACGAAGACCAAAAAGACATTGTAGCTGATGATGCAGCAGATGAAGAAAAAGATGATACAACTGAAGAATCAGAAGAGGAGCTGATGGAGGATGAAAATGCCATAGCAGCAAATCAGTTGCACAAAGTCCAAGAACAAGACGAACCTGAGGAGGAGCCAAAAGAAGAGGATGATGAGACTCAGCAGGAAGAAATAGTAGATCAAGATGAAGCCACAGGTGAAAATGACATGGGTGAAAAGGCACCGGATACGGAAGAGCAGGCAGTTCAGTTGGAAAAACAGGACCAACTCCCACAGGAAGGGGAAGAAACTTCGGATGACAAAGAGTTGAGTTCTGATGAAGAGTCAGAAGTCACTGAATCAGCCGAAGGGGAGGAGACTGAAGAAGAGGAGGAACAGCTTGAAGATGAAAATGCAACCGCTTCCTCGGAATTGAAAGAGGGTGATGTTGAAGTAGAGTCAGGCCTTGAGGAGGATGAGGATAAGACCAAAGAAAGTCAGGATTCCTCTTCAGTACATATAGAGCAAACTTTTGAAGGTATTGTTGAAGATGAACATGATGTGCCAGTAGAGGGGGTTGAGAGTCCAGATGTTCTGATGGAGGAAGACAAAGAACCTGATGAAGTGGCAAAGACTGAATCAGATGATGAAACTGCTGACAAACATGACTTGGACATGATGGCTCAAGACGAAGTCGTAAAAGATGAACAACAGGAAGCCACAGATGAGTTGTTCGATGGATTTGAAGCGGCAGTCTCAGGTTGGGACAGGAGTGGATGATCTTGATGGTTTAATTGATACCAAGATGGATGAGGCTTCGGCAAGTGAGGTAGAGCCTGATGTTGAGAAGTTACTTGAGACACCAGAACTGAAAGAGATTCAGGACAAGATAATGGAAATGACTGAGTCTATCGCTGCAAAAACTCAAGAGAGAACAGAGACACTGCTTAGCCAACTGGAATCTAAACTGTCTTTTGCAACAGCAGATGCAACAGACATCAACAGCCAAGATGCCATGCAGGAAGACCTGATGTTTGAAACTGACACAGAGGTAAAGGACGAACAGGAAGAGGAACGTTTGGAAACAGAGGAGGAGAAAATCAGCACGGAGTCCCTGTTTCCATTCGGTAGTGGAGAGAATGTCCGACAACAGCTCAGAGAGCAGGTCGAAAAACTCACCAAATCAGACGACGCCTACCAAAAGCAGCAGGAGAAACTGAGGAAGGAAATGCTGGAATGGACTGCAAAAATGAAGGAGAAACGTGAAGAGGCCAGGAAGGCCAAAGAGAACAAAGGTGCAACAGTCATCGATGGGACCACAATTGACTGGGACGAGGTATTGGATGACGATGTTACCATGTCAACTGAAGACTTACCCTTTGATTGGGATGAGGTTCTGGACAAAGAGGCATTCATGTCTGAATACAGCCAAATAATGGGAGAGCCATTTGGGGAAGGCATAGTGCCCACCAGTGTTCAAAGCAGTCCTGACAGCTTGATGTCCACTCCAGTTGTAGACCTGAAGGCAGAAGCAACTGATGGTATGCTCGTTGGGGACCTTGAGAAAGATGTAGCAAAACCAGGGATGCAGCAACTCCTGCAAGGCAGTGAAGTGTCCCCAGGCATGGGAGAAACAGACAGCATTAGTGCAGCAGAACTCCCAAGTACCCAGCAAACTGAACCCCTGCAATCAGCACATATATCTGAGTCAATCCTGCCTCCTGACCAGACTGCAACACAAACACCTCTGTACATACTGCCTGATGAGCCTGACCGGGGGTATAGTTGGGATGGACAACGGACAGAAAATACTCGAAACTTCTACATGGAAGGTGCCACGCCAGAACAGGTCATTGACAAAGTAGGCCTTGGCTCAGAGAAGTTGGACGCCCTCAGAGCAGAAGAGGAAAAAGAAGACGCTGCGCTAGACCAGGAAGATGCTGAAGAGAAAGAGCAACCCACATCTGAACCAGCCACTCCTTCTGAGTTGGAATCTGAGGGAAAAGAGGGTAAGTATCAATCAAGGTTGGCCATTGGCAAAGGGTACTGCACAATTATGTAATTAAAACGAAAGACCCTTCCACAAACTTTCTTAAGTGTCTTGATAAAGCTTTTCAGAAAACAATCTCTTCTTTATCATCATCCATCTCCTTTTGCTGAATGTTGATCATACATGTATAATTTATCTTCCCAACAGAAGACATCTCACAGACAGACACTGAGGATATCTACATAGAGTTGGACTTCCAGTTTATTGAATTGGTAGGTCTCAGTAAGGATGTTATAAGGCCCCTGTTCACATTGGGCAAAACAATCATTGCACAAGGGTCAAAGGCCATATGATCAAACAGGTGTCCTTCAAAGTTTGTCTCCATGTAATAAAAGGCAATGTTATGCAAAAGTAAAGGAAATTAGACATAAAGGTAATAATGCCATAAAATATTTTTGATTACTCCATAAAAACATTATATTCTCTATGTGCAACATTATCAACATGTCAAATTTATTGAAAAGGCCCGGATATAACGCTCAGCCACAACAAATTCTGTTTAGTGCAATGTAATCACAGGCTTTAGGCGGTCTCCTAGTAGTTTGTGGCGCTGTTTCCAACTGCCACGTCGGCAGTCTGGTTACTAAATCCTCTTTTCTGTACGTTACGCTTTTTCCATCCACTGAATAACGTTATATGCCTAGTTAGAGCTTAGCTATTAGGGCTGGGCAAGCTGTTATGGTCCAAGTAGCGTCAGGGGTCAAGTGTTGCACATCCGGTGGAATAACTCTTGTTTCGTCAAGTATTTACTGCCTACTGTGCGACGATCGATATCATACTAGTACCGGCTGATTTAGCCCGTAGAAAAACTCCGTACAAGTAAACATCCGCGACCTTTCGTCAGCCCTGGAGGACACGTCTGACGTGTACTTCGTACTGTGATTACGTAGCAAAGATGGCGACCGCCAGCCCGCTTACGTTGCGAATATCGCTCGGAAAGGTGAACTTTTTCCTCGATTTTGAGGGGATCTGACGATTTTTCTTGACAGCACGTAGCTAGTGACGTTGTTGGTCAACAATTGTTCAGGCACGTTTGATTCTAGCGTTGAGGTTTTGCGCCGAATATGATCGCCGGTAACAGACCTTGAAGTGAAGGGGGAGGGGGGCGGTAATTTTTTTTTTCACGAATATGTTAGAACGTCTTCTAAATGTATATTCCAGTGATCGTGTTCCAAAAGAATGTTGGAAGAAACAATCACCTTTGTTTGAGGAAATATGTGATGCAATGCCCATCTTGTGTTGTATTTGCTAGTCTTTCGATGATCGATTTTGTTGCCAGGACAAGTCACGTATTTTCGTCATGAGTTGAGATCATAATTTTGAGTCAACATGGGCCATAGTTTTGAGTCAGTCTGCCAACACTACGGGTTCGAGGTGACCGACCTGTACGGTTGCTCCGTGCCCGTCAGTTGGCTCCGGATTTACGGGATGCTTCTGAGGATATTCAGGGAGACGTGTGTGTGTTTTTATCGGCAGCTCGGGGCACTGGTGCCGCCGGAGTGGGCGGAGCAGCTCCGCGGCTGGGGGCTGGAGTACACACCGAGCGACCTGATCTTCCAGGGCGTCCCCATACCCTGGCTAGCCGTGGTCACCACACTGCTGGTCGGCATCGTCACCTTCTGCGTGTTTTCCTACAAGTGTGTGACAAGGGTAGGTTTCCTGGGACTTTGTTTTTGTTCACTAAATGTTCAGGGGAAAAAGCAAACACCTGTTGCGAGAAACAGGTGTTCATGTTCACTTAAAATTTTTATCTTGAAGGATGTAACAAAGAATTTTTTTTAAATATTTGTGACACAAAGTTATTTGTAATGTGTGAATACGTGTTGACATTGCAGGTTGTACAAACAAATTTGGGGCTCATAAATTGTTTTTATAGAGACCTTAGCAGTCATCCTCTAACTACGAAGCCATGTTTTGCAATAGTATAACAGTTAATAAAAAACCAGCATGTTACTCGTGCCCGGAAGTTTGTTTTTTTTTTATGAAGAGAAAATCATGGAATTGTGAAGCAATGGACTGTAAATCCTCTATTTTCCTTACAGTGCGTCCATGGCAAGCCAGTGGATCCAGCAGGTACGAATAGTCATCTTTTCTGTGTTTAGGACCTAAGGTGGTGTGTACTAATAGGACTGACCCTAATCATTGACCCATGAACAATAATAACTATGGTTAAAGTATTTGCATCTATGAATGCCACAATTACATGTAGTTCTATTCATAAATTGATGACAGTAACACTTGTCCAGGTTACTAGTAGTCTTAAATTAGAATCTAGATGACACTTTTGGCTGAATGCAGAGCTAGACATTGCTCTAAAAGATGACCTGTTTGATATCAGGATTTCTAACAACTTGAGGAGTTGTGGGTTACAGTGGGTATGTTCTCAGTAATGTCATTTCTGCTTATTATGCCTAATAAACCTATCGATTTTGCAGTCGTGAAGAAACAGCTCGAAGCTGAACTTGATAAAGCTGCTAAGGAGAAGGAAGACCTTAGAAAGGGCGCAGAGGCTGCTGAAGACAGAGTAAGCCATAACTTCATCTTACATTGAGGTTTTAAATCATTCTTGTCAATGCCACAACTCATTAAATTATTAACTTATTAAATTTTTGCATTTTGAAACATGTATACCGTCTTTCCTGCAGATACGAGAGTTGGAAGAGACCCTGGATGTAGAAAAATTCTCTGCTCAAGCCTTGTCCAAGAAGAATTCTGAACTTGAGGTGAGCTACTTGTACCGGGTATAACATGCACAAGTCTGTGTCTTTGAATCAAAAGATATGTTGAAAAAACTTAACAACTTCATCAAGTAAAAAATGTGCACTTAGACTACAAGTGGCCATGAAAATGTAATGTCAAGCAAGTTCTTGTGATCAGAGGGATGGAAGTGGTTGTTAAAAAATGTTCCATGAAATGATGGAATTACTTCATAGAAAATACCATGTACCTCAAGGTACTCATAGGTAGCAGTGAACATGGGATGAAGAACAATGGTTCAAATTGATGTCGTACTAATACATGTATCAACAAACGGTCCCACAGGAGAAGTTGTCATCCAATGACCAGTTGGAAGTGACCCTTCGTCAGGAGATCCAGAGACTTATGGACCAGGTCTCCGACGCCAGGGAACAGTTAGAGTCTGCAACCTCAGAGGTAGGACCTGTGTTCTCAAGAAACACAAAAAACTGTTACCCAAGCAATAGATTTTGAAATTAGTAACAGTTGCATGAGTAACAGTTTTTGTGTATCTCATTACCTGGACCTTCATTGACATTAAGAGTTGACATGACACTGTAACCATTAAAGTTAAAGAAAATAGAACCAGAATGTTTGTTGAAAATGGTTTGAATGATTAGAGGTTCATTGTAAACAGAGCAGTTGATGTATATAACCTATTGATTGATTTTGCTGTATTGCTAATTCACTGATCATTTTTACACAGTATGCCAAACATCAGGAGACAGAAGCAGAATACAAGAAGAACTTAAAGAAAGAACGGAAAGAAAAGGAAAAGGTTGGTTCTAAAGACCTTGTCATGTCTTTGCCGTAGAAATGACCCATATGTTTTAGAACCGTGCAGGTGTAAAAGTTCATTAAGAACTCACATAAATAGAGAATGACAAGCAATGTTAAGTCTGGAATATGTTAGTAAGTAGTAAGTAGTGCTTCAGTTTTCAAAAGTAACATGTAACCTATCAGATAATTGTAGAACAGCAAAGGTTAGTCACAGGGTAAAGTACTCACACCTGTTCTGCTTATGATCCTAGCTGCAAGAACGCCTGACAGAAATTGAGAGTAAGACCAAACACCTTGACAGTGAGATAGTGACTATCAAGGAACACAGGGACTTACTGGAGGAGAGCAAACATCAGGTGAGGACACAGGAAGTATAAAATGATTTAGTTGATTGGATATCAGAACTTTAAAGTTCTTTTATCTGTAGGCTATAGGCATACTGCAACGATGATTTTATATGCAGAGTTTTCATGTTTTACATGTATATGTCTAAGTAATCTGTATATGTCTAGTAATCTGTAGGCTATAGGCATACTGCAACAATGATTTTATATGCAGTTTTCATGTTCTACATGTATATGTCTAGATGAAATGAAATGTCATTAATAAACAACTTTTTACCAATCATGTGACTTCAAATGCCTTAAAATACACTTCTTGCTTTCTTGTTTCAGCTTGAAGAAGAAATTCAAGGACGCCAGGAACAGTAAGTATTATTTTGATTTACATTGTATGTCTCATTCAAGGTGGCTTCTTTGAAATCACTTAGTTGATTAGTTTCATTGTTCCTACATGTAATTTAAATCATGACATCAAAGTCAATGGCACATTTTACTCTAAGTTCCGTAACTGGTTGTGTTCCCCAGAATCTTGGCAGAATACATACCAGTGAAAAGGTGACGATGTTTAAAGATGTACTTTGGTGAACAAAGAGGGAAATTTTCTTAGTTAATTTGAAGGTTGAAGAAATGTACAATGTAGCTAGTGGTTATAGCTGCTGTTATGTAGTAGGGATCTTCAGAAGAAGACACTCACACTCACTCACTGTCCGGTTTATCGTCTGTCCGAGGGTTAGACATACTATATATTAATATTTCTTGTTGCTCATTGACGTTGGCCACATTTTTCGATGTTTGTCAAGTGGAGTTACTCTAACATACTTTGCTGTGTGATGCTATGAAAAGGTTGTGTCTGGTGTGGATCAGATGGTGTATTAACATGAAAGAGGGAAGGTAGCAATGGTGGGATAACATAGAGAAAACATTTGGAGAGGATACATGATGCACGGAATTAGTACACATTTTTGGCTTTTTTTTTCTGGGAATACTATTCATCAGAAAGTCATATAGACAGCTTTCCATATAAGTGTTACTTTGTAAGTTCTTTAAAACTTTTGTAAGGGACACCAGGGTATAACTGATAGCAATATATGACCAGACATTTCCTGACCTCACACTAATTGTATGCATTTTGCAGGTTTACAGAACTGAAGGAGTCCATTGAGATGATCAAGCAGGAGAATGAACAGCTGAAGGAAAATGTCCAGTACAAGGAAAACGAGATTGAGGTAGGCTAGCCACCAGTTCTATACCGGTAGTGAAATCATCCACATGAATGTAGTGCAGTGGTTTGTATCACATTTGTAGTACATCGGCACAAACCTTTTCAAACAAGGACATTTGCTTTCATGCCTTAACTTCCTTGTTTGGCTAGCCTTCATATTGTTCAGAACAGAATCTTTGTAGGAGACAGGCACCTTAATGCATGTTTGCAGTGCACATGTTGAGAGACAGACAGACCTAGTTATTCTCTTTGCTCACAAAACTGGCTCTCCAGGTCCTGAGAGACTGTCTGATGCAGATCAAGGCTCTGGAGTCTGAAGATGCAGCAGCCATAGAAGAAGACACTGAAGGTAAGATATTTGTTGTCTGAGGACTTGTAGATATCCCTCATTTTGGTTCCTTGCGTACCTTGAAGTGACCACATGTACTTTTGGATGATCTAGTTGGATGTTCATGTTTGTAAAGTATACACCTTCTTCATCAATGCATACAGGCTATCCAGAAAAGTGTAAGTGCTCTAGAGTTATTTAGGTTCCTGATATGTTAATGATACTGATGACATTCAATGACATGTTCACCCTATTGTCTCACAGATGCTTCCACAGCAAAGGATGAAAAGATTCAGCAGATGTTGGACGTAGCACGAGTAAGTTTCACCAAACATGTTTTAGAGTTGTATCATTTTCAGCATCTCACACACATTTACTTCATTGTTGTCCACACCTTGAGCAGATATCCGTGGTTTTACTGTAGGCAGTTACAAAAGCAATTAGCTTATGTATTTGTATTATTGTATCAAAGGTAATGGAGTAATAAATTATTCAAATATGTTAGAGTCATTACATTAAGATTTCCTAAACAAACATGTAAGTTATTCTGTATCATTTATTTAGGTTTTTCTTTAGTTCTGAAACCATAGATTTCCCTTTTGTTGCATTTATCAGATTAACTCCACGCTGAAGCTGGTGGAGTCAGAGCGGGACTACCTGCGCTCTCGGCTGGAGGAAGCAGACGGCTCCAGGAAAGAGTATGAAGGTACAGACCCTAAAGTGACTTTGCATCTAAATTATCCAGCTGTGTCGATAAGTACGTACCTACTAAGATGTCCAGCAGTAAAAAACATCTCCCTTACATAACTCCTCCACTAAAGAGCCTGATGAGGAAAAGGGATCGTTATTACAGAAAGACTAAAGGAGTAAACACAACTGAGAGAAAAGAAAAGCTCAACCAGTTCAAAAAAGAAATAAATAAGAAAATGAAAGAGTGCTACTGGAAATACATCGAAGAAGTAGTACTCGACATAAATACAGACACAACTGACTCTAACCAAAGCAAGTCTCCGTCATGCAAACAAGTCAACAAAAAATTCTGGAGCTTCTTGAAAAGCCTGAAGTCCGAGAGAGCCGGAGTATCTCACCTTAAGAACGAAGGTAGGCTCATCTCGGACGGAAAGGCCAAAGCAAATATACTAAACCAGCAATTTCAGTCAGTTTTCACTAATGAACCACTAGAAGGCCCTCTGCCCAACATGGGGCCTAGCCCTCACCCACTAATGCCAGAAATTAACATCGTTACAAACGGAATCACAACCCTGCTGGAAAACCTAAACCCTCACAAAGCATGTGGCCCGGACCATGTGCACGCATGTGTCCTTAAAGAACTCAGTTCTACATTGAGCCCCTTTCTCCAGGTGATCTTTCAAAAAAGTCTCGACACTGGAGCTGTACCAGAAGCCTGGAAGGAGGCTAACATCGCCCCGATATATAAGAAAGGCAATCGTCTCGACCCAGCCAACTACCGGCCTATTTCCTTAACATGTATCTGTTCAAAAATCATGGAACACATCATAGCAAGTTCTATGATGTCCCACTTTGATACTAATAACATCTTGTACGATCTCCAACATGGATTTAGGCACGGCAGGTCATGTGAAACTCAGCTTCTATCTCTTATTGATGATTTGGCCCACAACAGGGAAAACGGGACCCAGACGGACCTTATCATTATGGATTTTGCTAAAGCCTTTGATAAGGTCCCTCATCTACGGCTGATACACAAACTCCAGTTTTACGGCATTACTGGTAAGGCACTTGTCTGGATCCAGAATTTCCTGCAGGGCCGCTCACAAACTGTAGTGCTAGACGGGGAGCGTTCGGACCCAGTGCCTGTAACATCGGGCGTACCTCAGGGTACAGTCCTGGGTCCGATTCTCTTTCTAGCATACATCAATGACCTTCCTAAATACGCTGCACATGCTAAAGTCAGGCTCTTCGCCGACGATTGCATCTTGCAAATGAGTATCAAGGAAGAAGACGACTGTAAAAGACTGCAGCATGACATCGATAGTATTTGTAGTTGGGAGAAGGAGTGGTTGATGGCCTTCAACCCATCTAAATGTGAAGTGATGACCGTCCCCTCTTCTAGGAACCCAATAACGTTCCCTTATTCCCTCCATGACCACGTTTTAACCAAGGTAAGTACCACCAAATATCTCGGTGTTTCCATCTCCTCAAACTTGACCTGGGGCAGACATGTCGATCTAGTTACAGCGAAAGCAAACAGAACCTTAGGAATGCTGAGACGCTGCCTACGAATCTCAAGCAATGCGGCAAAGGAGAGAGCTTACATGGCTCTTGTAAGACCCTCCTTAGAGTACGGCTGTAGTGTCTGGGATCCCCACACCAAGGACCAGGTGAGTAGGGTGGAGATGGTCCAGCGTAGAGCTGCCGTTTGTCTGCAGTGACTACAGACGTACAAGTTCTGTTTCATCTATGTTGCAAAACCTGGGCTGGCAGTCTCTGGAAGTACGCCGGAAGATCGCCCGCCAGGTCATGCTTTATAAGATCATACATAACGCTGTCTCCGTCCCACACTCAACCAGGATTGTCCCGGTGGCTCGATGCTCCCGTCGCATCAATCACACTCAAACATTGCAGGCCATCGCGAGCAGAACCAACTTCTACAGGCTCTCGTTCTTCCCCCGCACCATCAGGGAATGGAATGAACTTGAGCCTGGTGCGGCGGAGGCGGGGTCTCTTGCCCAGTTCAAATCTGAACTGGCGAGGACCCTGCTGCATTGAGCCACCCCATCATGTCTTGTATATATGTAAATATTACTAACGCACTAATGCACTTGTCCCGTCTTTAGCACACACAAAATCAGTTGTCTTATGTTCCCTTCTCATTTATCCTTGTTTTACCTTGTTTTATGTACTGGATCACAATTGTAACTAATCAATGCGTAACGGCTGCCAATAATCCTACATGGTAGGGCTAGGCAGTAACGGAGATGATGACTTGGCATGTGAAGGCACTATAAAAGTTTTTGTCATATACCAAACGTACCAGTGTGGACCCACTAGACAGCACCACTTGGAAACGTGGTGTGAAAACTAGCCAACAACTGCCCATCTGTGTCAAGGATCTCCGCAGCAGTATATACAAAGACTTTGAAGTACTACAACTACCACTATTCAAACACCTTTTCCATACACCATTTTTTTCACCCAGCAAACATGCACAAAATTCCATTGGTTAGTCTTACGATGTTCATGTTTTTATGTCCAGACAAAACGGACAGGCTCCAAATCCAGGTAGACAACCTGACGGAGGCCAGGAAGCGTGCTGAGAAGCAGTACTACGAGGCCCAGGTGCGACTCAACACTCTGCAGGACTACTTCAAGGAGAAGGAGGTGGAACTACAGAGGTAAGGAACTTCCTTCCTCTGTTCAAGTACCTGTTTTTGAAGATATGTTGATGAAGGATAGACATCCAGCTAATGAAATACTTGGAAGAAAACAGTTGCTCTGACAAAAAGTAGTGGATGCCACTTGAAACCTCTGACAGTTTAAAAAAAAATCTGTCCAGTTTCTTGATCAACTTCTTTGTTGAGTTACTCAAGAGTCTGTTCTGGCAAGGTTGCATTTTCCTCTGCTTATAACCAGAGTCCGTTTTTTTAGCTTTTATCGAGGGTTACACGCTGTTGTTGTTTTTTGTGTGTATGGTTCCACTTTCTGTGAATACCAATATGTTTGATCCCAATATTGATTTTTTGTTTTCTCTTCAGGAAACTTGGTAAAGAGGAGATGATCCGGCAGGATGTGAGTGGGAAGGTTCAGGACACACAGGAGAAGTACAGACTGGCGAAGGAACAAGTGGAGCTCTACCAGTTAGTATTGGCTGTTACAGTTACAATATGAAACTCATGAGCAAAGATTGTATGAAAATCTACAGATTGTGCATTGTCGTTTTTACATTGTTTCCTGCAAGTTGCCTTCAATAAAAAGCAGTGAAAGTAGCAATGAAGACACAGAGGATATTAGCACATAAAAATTTGTACACTTTTTTCTTTCTTGTTTCCCAGAAACCAAAAGGATGACCTGATGAAAGAAATGCAGGAGTCTGAGAGGAGCTTCAGGAACCAGATTGCAGCCATTGAGAAGAAGGCTCATGAAAGCTGGGTAAGTGGCAGTTCTACTAATTTTACAAGAAAGTATTTCTGCTAGTCTTCTTCTTCTAGTAGTTCTTCATGAAAATTATTGGAAAAAGTACTGATATAAGTTTCATGGTATTCTGCTAGGTTTGGAGTGACTTGAATTGGGTAAAATGTTGAATGTTTGTAATTTTGTGTTCTACACAGATGGCTGCCAGGACATCTGAACGTGAGGCACAGGACTCCAAAAGAGAAGCTGCTACACTCAGGCAAAAGTGAGTAGGCTAAAATAGTTCCATAAAACATTCTTGCAGTACAAAGCAACTTTGATTCATGTCAGTTTGATTAGAAATAGCCTTAGAAATTCTGGTGTAATATAATGATTACATTAACCATTAGTCTGAAGTTTGTAACTGTGTATGGATTCTTTGCTTCGTTGAGAGTCAATCAAACAGTCCTCAATGTTTTGAATGTGTAAAAAGTTGTATACCAGTACTCTTCCCACAGTGTAACTTAGCTGTACATGTATGTTATCCCCTTTAGGTTGCTGGAAGTTGAGAATGCCCTCGCCAAAGAGAAGGACAAATACCTGGTGCAGTCTCCACCTCTGATCAAGCCAACACCTATCAATGGTACGTTACATGTGCAACTCAAAGACTTTCATAGAAAGAGATATGTTGATATTTTTCATGCAAACATCTACCTTGATATGGAACCTTATCTTCGCTGACTGATGCTGAAATCTAAGCAAATTCTGTAGCCTATAAGAATGAATGGCTTTTTACTGGTGATTGTAAGTGTTGTTACCTATCCTTACATTTTGTCTCTTATTTCAGGACCACCTCCCTTCCCTCCAAGGTTCTCTCCACCACTGCTTCCCCCAGGGGCACCCAGACATGGTAGGTACAGCTACACATGCCTCACCACATCCGTTATAGCTTTGGGACGCTTGAGAAGTTGTTGATGTATGACCATTGTGCTAAGCAACTCATTTTTACACTGTATGTCAACGAAAACACCTAAGGAATGCAGTGCAGGAAAGGACCAGTCCTTAGCTGTTAAGATTACAGAGCTAAAGCCATTGAATCTGCCTTTTTAACTGTCATTTGTACTAAGAAACATTGCTGATGATGGTACAGGTTTTGTTTTATGTTTATGTGTGTGACAATGAGTTCTGTGTTTGTTTGTCTGCTATCCAGGCCCTCCCTTCGGCAGAAGCCCTCCTCCAGGCCGCAACGGTGATTTTGATGGACCGCCTTCCCCACCCCCAGAGATGGCCTTCCGAGGCCCCCACCCCCCATGGGGCCTCCGCCCCTGGGCCCACCCCCGTTCCGAGGACCCCCAGACGACTTCCCCGACAGAGACTTTGACCACCGTAGCAGACCGTCCTCCGAACGAGACTTTGCTCCAGACAGAGAGTTCGACCGCCGACCCCCCTCAGAACCGTACGGACACCCCGACAGGGACTTTGGGCCGGATCGGGACTTCGGTCCCCACAGAGGTCCCCCCATGGACTTCCCACCCCCTCGAGGAGGCCCCCCTCCTATGACACCCCCTGACCTGAGGAGAGGCTCGGGTCCCTTCCCCCCCATGCCGAGAGGACCCCCCTCGTCTGGCAGAATATCAGGTCCCAGAGAACTGAGGGGACCTCCCAGGAGACCAGGTCTGTACTGTTCTGTTAGGAGCTGTTTAGTCAATATTTTTATAATAATATTTGACAGATTATTCTTGTAGAGATGAAAGGTTTTTAAAGAATTATTCAGGTTTTTCAAGTCAGGCCATGTTGATTTGATTATATGGATGACATCCGCGCGCGCATGAATTTTCGGCCGTTTCCAAAAAAAAAGAAAGTTTTCAACCATACTGTAAATCGTACAAAACAGTTGCAAATTTAGCAAAAATATACCATAAGTTACAAAAAAAAATAATAAAAACTATACCAATGTCGTAGAATGCCAAAATCAAACGTAAAAAGACGAAATTGTAAAGAAATGAACAATTGAAGACTAGATTATTCGCCAAACCATATTCTGTGCCATTTGCTCAACCCTCATGACCACGTAGATTTCATAATGAAAACAACTTTTTTTTTTTGCAAAACTTTTTTTTTATTCGCACGCTCGCATCAGTTTTGGGGCTCCCGGAGGATGTCATCCATATAATCAAATCAACATGGCCTCAGTTATGACTCCAAGATGTTATTTTGCTACCTTAATGAATTTTGATACAATTCTATACCTTTGCTCTTTTGATGCATTTCAATTCCTTTATTCGGTGTTTTTTATGCATTTCTTCCTTCGTGATGTTTCCCTTGCTATGTGTGCTTTTCTCTGAGCTGTCTTCTGTGTTGTCTGTCTTACAGATGAGGAGTCTGGCTCACAAGGTGACCCCCTCTTTCACGTCTTCTCCCTCTGAATTTCTTGCAATCTTTCTGTGATCCTTTATTGTCAACATCACCAGTGTAACCGTCTTGAGATGTTTCTGGCCTTGTTCCTTCTTTGCTTGCACTATGTGCATTTTTGTGACTGTGCCTCTACCTTCAAACAGCCACATTTTAGGACGTAATTCTTTTGACTAACACAAAACTTGACTCTTGTATCTCCCAGACTCCAGATCGACTGGACCCCCCTCCCCTCCCCCCATGGGTGTCCCACGGACATCATCACCATTAGACTCCCCACAGGTGAGTGGTCAGAACCTGTACAGACTTAACAGCATTGTAACATTTACAATACAGTAATGTTCTGGCAACTCTGTGTAGACGTTTGGTCATTTCCAATTTGTCATTCTTTTTATTTTGTGAATGCAGTTTTCAAGAGTTTTTTGTATTAAAAAGTAAACTTTTTATTGGTTTGTTAATCGTACGCCTATATTGATTGCAAACCTGTAGTTTTAATATACCAATGTTTTGTAAATTGGTTTACAATTCAGTTGTTTTTAACTGCGAAGAACCAATAAATCCATCTTGAATCTTGAATCTTGAAAAACTTTATTGTGCAACAATCTCACAAGGAGATGCAAGACAAGTCTACGTTGCACAACTTTGTAGTATGGGATGAGAATTTCCTTTTACACTCATTGGTGGAGTTTCTAAATTCTAGCATTTAGATTACTTCTTATAGGTACAATGCTAGATTTGTAACTGTAGACATGTCAATATGTAATTAAATTCGTAAGATATATTAACATTAATTCATGCCTGTTTTGCTTTTCAGCACTACATGGGCCCCCCTCCGCCAGGCGGCCCCCCTCCCCAGCACTTCAGCCCCCACGGCCCGCCCCCTCCCCGTAGGTCCCCCAACCCCCCTCCCATGGGAAGAAGACCCCCTCCGAGCGATGACGACAGACGGGACCGGTCCCAACAGCAGTCCTCGCGGCTGCCCACGTAGTACAAACATCTCTGAGATAATACAAGAAAACTGTTTAACATCTCCGAGGAAACGGATAGATTTTGGAAACTGTCCAGTAGCATCCACTACTTTTTGTCAGTATCTGTATCTATATATCCAGTAAGAAGCCCCTTCGGCGTAACACACCAGTCAATGTTTACTCGAAATTTAATTCAGTGACTGACGAGAAGTATTGGATGCTGTTTAAAACATCTGACAGTTTTCAAACATATCCCAGACAAAACAAATACTGTCTTCAAACCCCTGGTTCCAACTGGTGGGTCTCGATCATCCAGCCTTACAACATCTTACTAATCTCCTTCTGGTCATAAAAGTATGTTAAGTGTCTTTTAAAAAAAGTTGGCATATGAAATCTCTAAGAAGTATGAAGCAATCATTTTGTTGCATCTGTATGTAGCACATCTAGGGGAGCTTCCTCTAATATTTGTAGACACTGAGAGGTTGACTGAAAATGAATGAATGATAGTTGCTGAATGAATCTGGTATGTTTGTATGAGAGATGGTTTACCTGTGATAACCATGACTTGATAAATACTTAAAATCAGTGTCAATTTAATTCTTGTGGTAAAGCTTATTGAAAATAGAGTATGTGAAGCTCTTTGGTTTTTGTTACATAATGGTTACTCTCTGCTACACATAAGTCTGAATTCCTATCAAATGAGGTAATTTCTGTTTAGGTGGAGTATTGTTGTTTCTGGAAAGGACAAACCTTATGATAATGTACACCTGATGAATGTACACCAATATGAATGTGCCACAGTTTGTCTATCCCCCTAGTGTTCAATGTGTGAAAAGTTATTTTTACTCGGTGGCTTTCAGTGGGTAAGGTAGGTTTTTGGTGCTAACCTGGGTAGTTAGCCTCAGTGGTAGTGCAGAAAAACATGGACTTTGTGTGAGCATTTGCATTTTAAGAGCTGTCAACAAGGTTTAACACCTTACAAGCTGCCTTTAATGTAGATTTAATGTAAAGAAAATTTTTGGTGGGGATGTCTTTACCAGATGTTTTTATGGTGGACGATGTTGCTGCCAAAAGTGTGGACCATATTTATGTGGATTTGCCTGCTATATGACAATGCAAAGAAAATTTGACATTCTCAACATTGTTTTTTAGTTAGTTGTCCGGTTAGTGTAAGAAATAATGTAAAGCGCTGTTGCATGCTTGCAATTTTGTGTAAAAAGTTGTACAGAATACATATAAGCTGCATTAAGAGAGTGTAAAGGAAATGCTGTAACATTGATACATCAATAACTCCAAACAGTCCTAATTTTGGTGTGATAATGACACAACTCGGGCTTTCCCAAAATTGATATAGTGGGAAGTCAGGCATTTCTGTTGCTAGATACTTAGCACAAATACTTGAATGGACACTGTTGTTTTGACCATCATATATGTGGAAATTTGCCAACCAAATGTCACAAATAGTTTCTAAAATGTTAGATAAACCCACTCAAAAAGCTCAGGCTAAGGGGACATCTTTAGTCACAACTATTGTCTAACTCTGTTGTGCTGCTACTCGTATCACTGGGATATTACATATATGTGGAAACCTTCATTCCACAAATGGAGAAGAACATGTATTTTAGTCCAGACTATATTTATTGTGATTCTTAAGCTGTGTGAAGCTGCCTTGTCAAATGGAGTGGCTTTAGTAGGGAGGCTTTTATTCCTCAGTTGAGTTAGTTTTGGAGCCACCACAAACAAATAAAAACAACTTTAAATCTGGTTTGCACTGCTTAGGCTGGTTCATTTTAAGATAACAATTTCAGGTGAGGAGGTAAAACAGAATGCATTTTTTTCAATGGAGAATGGTTTGCATGTTCTCTGACACTTTTTTCTATTTCAAAGCCAAGCAACATTAGCCTGGGTACCATCCCCAGTAGTATATTCGCAAACTCTATACCAGTTATATAGAGTTTGCGAATATACTACTGGGGATGGTACCCAGGCTAAAGCAACATGGCATATTGGCATGTAAAGCAACAGAAGAGCCATTTATTCTGTTGTTTGTCTTGACCAGGAAAAGAAGCCTGTTCCAGCAGCAAAGAACATGTCTACTGTTCTGTGATGTTTCTACTAAGTTCATCTATCACCCATGCAAGAAATAAACAACTAATACTTTTTAAACTTACGTTTTAATAATAGGAGTAAGAAATGTGAACACATTCATAAAACCAGTGCTACTATACCTTGCATGGTAAACCTGCCATGCCAATTTCTATACACTGGTGGGACAGTCAACTTTTGTATCTGTGAGTTCGACGTTAGCGAATCATGTAGGTATGATCGAACAGTCCTACTTTATGATCTCAAATTCTCAGTACCGTAAACGTTGACTGATCAGTTTTACAAATAACAACTAATGATCAATTACAAATGATGAACATTATGAGCATGACTCTATCATAAGCTATCTAGAATTTACGTAAACAGTTACGAAGAACTTAATATCTTGTTTTTTGAGGCGCTTTTCTACTTCTGAAACACGTAATTATAATAGAACTGCGCAAGAATAAGTCAATATTGTCGACTGCCTGCCATAAGCGTAAGGAATGTGACGGTTGATGGCAGTTCCCTCTAGGCTCTTGAAGGGTGCAGGATCGCATCAGACAGCATTTCCACGGCAAAGTCTTTGTCGCCTTCTGGATTCTTGGTGCTTCTGTGAGTGAAGAAGACGAGTTGTAAGCATGTGGTTGGACGTTTTCTATTCCTATTCCTATTACAAATGGCTTGCGAGACTAACAGGCTTCAGAAATAGCCTCCTTCGCAGTCTTGTTGGGCGTCGGCGTTATTTTTTCTCTGAGCGACGTGAGTAATATGCGGCCGCGAGGGACGA